GGAGCTGCAGCTGGGTGGTAGCAGTAGTGATGTCCAGGAAGTAGGTGAGGGCTTGGCTGAGCGAGCAGGGGGGCAGCCTCTTGTCCTTGACCCAGTAGCTGCCTGAATGGAAGGAAGGGAGGTGTCAGGATGGGAAAAGGCCCGATTTGGGTCCTTAGAAGACTCCTAACCTCCAGTTTTAAGGACGGGAAGACTATGGCATCTTGGTCCCAGAAAGAGCAAAGATCAGGCATTGGTGCTGAGACAGGGCTGCTAGGGCCAGCTGATAAATTGCTCCCACATGGGCATCCATATTGTCATTGTCCTGACAAACTAACCACATCTTTCTGTGGCCCCTAGTTGTATCTCTGACATCCTCAAGTGAACTACAAACTCATAGTGCTAAGTCCATTGGAGACTGATGTGTGTCCCAGAGGCTAGATGCTCATTTAGAGAAAGGTTGATGGCTGCAGTCCCTTGTGGTATTAAATCAAGAGGCTCCAGGTGGATAGATCAGTATTAATTGAGGTGGCCAGGCTTCAGGGGTCCCGAGAACTTGCAGAGCAGTCACAGCATGATCTGGGGCCAGCAGACCCAGGTTCAAACTGGCTCCCCACTTTCCAGTTCAGTGTCTGAACCCTATGGCCTCTGGCTGCTTCCTTGAGAAACAGAACAACAAAGGCTGGGCTGGCACCAGCAATGAGGAAAACCACACTTGGGAAATGGTTGGCATGGTGCTGGGTCCACAGGTGTTTACTGCATGTAAGCCTGTTATTTTTATTATTCTCCCCTCCCCTCACTTCCTTCTGGAGAAAAGGGCTGTATTATTAGTGGCATCTCATCTGGGTTACATCTGCATCCTTACAACCCCAAGGATGCCTCAAGTCTCTTTTTAATAACTTTCAGGATGACTCACTTTCTCAGGGATGGTAATGAACACTTTCCCCCCGGGTGGTGGTGGACACTGCCAGGTTTTGCTTCTCTGATGCCTCCTGTGAGGCAGGAGGCATACTCATGGAGGCCTCACTATCAGTGGAGTTTCTCCCATAAGCTGAGACTGGAGTACACCAGGACAGACAGCCCTAGTCCTCAGGGATGGGAGTGAGGGGAGCAGGTTTTTCTGGGGGCCAGGGACTCACCGCTCTCATCCAGCACCTCCAGGCACACGGTTTGGTGCAGTGAAGGACAATCCACAACTCGCTCCAAGATTCCCTGGACCAAAGCCACCTGGTTACTTGGGAAAATCCCAAGGTGTTCCCCAGGCAGGTAGCTGGGGCCTCGGCTGCCCTCGAAGGAGAGTTGGACGAGGAGGGTGGTCCGGCTACAGAAGAAAAAGAGAGGCCCGGGTAACTGCTGTCTTCCTCAGGATAGGTGCTCTCCTGCCACCTCCCTCTTCTACCTGGCTGGGAGATTTCCATCCTTCTCAAATATTCTCACAAAAGGTCTGAAGACTCAAATGGTCTGGATGTCCCTGCTCACTCCCTTTAGTGAGAGTTCAGAGAGGTGGAAGAGCCAGTGAGGTAGACACCTGGTTCCCAAACTGGGCAAAGGCAGAGGTGCTAAGGACTAGCAGAGAAGCTGGTCCTGAAGACAGCTTCCTCGGCAAGCACGTCTCCGTTCCCTATGTACTGACTGACTTGCTCTGGGCCTTTATTCAGCCCAGAGCAGTCTTGGAACACCAATAAGACCTCCCTGCCCACCCACCAGCCAGGCATCCCTGTCATCTTTACCTGGACTTCCCACTCTGCAGATTCTGCTGGGATTTCACCCTCATGGTGAACACGTTCTTGGCGTGTATACTGCTGAGAGCTGGGGAGACAGAGATGGGATGGTACAGGGCTCCTTGCTATGGGGGCAGGGGGGAGCCCCTGTGCTATGGTGGGGGAATCCCTGTATGCTAAGTGGATTATCCCTGCAGGCTTCCCTTGCTCTTGCTGTTCTGAAGCCAGACTGTTAGGTTTTCCTTCCCCACTACTTATGAATCACAGTAAAGAAAGACCCTGGGCCTGGCTGGATGTGGTGACCCAAGTCTGTGATGCCAGCACTTGGAGGTGGAGGGAGGAAGATCAGGAGTTCAAGGCCATTCTTGGTCACAAATTTAGACCAGTCTAGGCTACATGAGATCCTCTCTCTGCCACCTGCCTCCACATACACACAAAGGGGTGGTGGTGGCAGGGAACAAAAGATCCCAGATGAACAGCGGCTTTGAGGTTGAGAAGTACTGGGAAATTCAGTTTAGATGTTAAAACACACAGTCTCAGGCACCTATGTGGTTTAGGGATTTGGGATTCACAGACCACAGCAGAGGTAAGACTAGGCATGTCCTAACATGCAGATACCGTTATGATGTCTGGACTCGAGGAACTGAGTTTGTCATCCAGGATGGACAGAGCTGAGCCACTGACTGCTGCCCTGAGTCAGCCCCAGAAGCCTTCTTCATGGCATGTGGCTCCCTTTGGAAGGCTGACTCCAACCCCCCTGTCCCCCATAAGCTACCACTCAATTCATTTCCTTGAGCTGTAACTTCTCTGATTTGTCACAGGCCAAGTGGCAGGACAAGTGTCATAGGACAGTTCATGTGAGTCGAGAGGCTGGCACAGTGCCTGGCAGGGGTGCCCGCACCCCCCCCCCTCTGATGCTGGCCCCCTCTCTCACCACCACTCTCTCAGGGCTTCCTTCTGACAACCTTTTCCTCGGAGCCTGAAGCCCTGTACCAATAGGCCCTGTAGCCAGGGAGACAGACACCTGGCAGTTCCAGCTGATAGCCTTTGTTCAGAAGGACATGGTGGGTTTCTTAACAACTGGTTCGGGGCTCAGATAGCTTCAACTCAGGCAGGAAAGGCCAGTAGGTGCAGAGGGGCTGTTACCTTTGTTGAGGTCTAAGGGCTCTGGGCTCTGGGTGAGCCTGTATTGCTGTGGCTCCCAGACTGCATTGGAAGTGTAGCGTTTCGGAATCTGAATGTGATGTTTGCTTCGGACATCAAACGTCTCACAGGCTGTCTGGAAAGTTAGGCAGAGTAGCATTCGTCATCATCACCACCACCCTTCACTGAATGGATGCATCCCCAAACTCTTAAGTGTGTCATTTGATGGAGATCAAAGGAGCTCAGAGAAGCCCAGGCTTGCTTCACATCGGCTATTGCTATTATAATGAATATTAAAGCTGCTATCATAGTCTTTTCCTCTTCCCACATAGAGAGGGAGATCCAGGGCTTCCCTATCCTGACAGAAAACCTCATGGAGGAGGTTCAAGTCTTGGAAACAAGTCTTCAAGGCTTCCAATTGCTGTCCCTTCACTTCAGAGTTATGTTCCCTCCATCAGCAGGGCAGAATCCCAAAAGTAAAGATTTGAGGAGATAATAGCCAGGTCATAAGAGATCAGCCGTGTGGTCCCTATCCCTACCTCTGTAGAGCTGGGAGACTGAAGCAAGATGCCATTGTTAAGAGGTGGCCAAGTAGGAAAGCCAAGTCAGAAGTTCAGGACAGGGAGTTGATAAGCCACCTTCTCCCACCTGGAGCCACACACCAAGAGTGACACTCTTCTTGGTAGGGTGGGGGTTGGGGATAGCAGCTTTGGCCTGAGACATCAGGCCCATAGCCCTAGTTAACACTTGGCAGATGTCATGACCCCCGGGAAGTCATGTGTTTGGTGTGAATGCATTACATCCTGTCTGCCTGGGAACTGACCCGGAAGGTTTGCACAGCCCAGCTGCGGAAGGCATCCTCTTGCCCACTGAGTTCATCCCCTTCTCCTGTCAGGGCAAGCTGAGAGGCTCCCAGCTGGGACAGTTTCTGGTCAATGTCATGAGCAAAGGCGCAGAACTGAGGGTACATGCTGGAGCCAAGGCCAAACACGGCATACCTGCCAAGAAGAACACATATGAGACTCAGGATGTGTGGCGATGTACAGTGTAGCTGTGGTCTGCAGGGACTGCCTACGCTCCCATGCCCACTGGGTCACACCACATTCTGGCCTTCCTTGGCCATGTGACTAATGCACTCTTGGCCTGTAGACCTGCAAGAGGGACCTGGTTTCTGTGTCTTGATCTTCAACTCACTTAGAAGACAAACCTCAAACCAGGGACTCTGCCCTGGGACATCTCTGAGAAGACATCCTGCACACACCCAGTCCCATGGTCTGATCCCAAAGGGCCCAGGAGGCAGGACTGTGGGATAGTGCCTCACCTGAAGGTGTGAGTGAGCTCTCTCAGCATGAAGAGAGCTTTCTTCAGAGTCTGCAAAGACAAGAAACCAGAGTTCTCAGGCCAGGATCCACAAAACCACTGCTTGCCTTCCCCGTAGTGGTTCATTTAAACCCTGGCCACAACGAGCAGGCAAATGGCAAAAAAAAAAAAAAAAAAAAAAAAAAAAAAAAAAAAGCAAAGCAAAGCAAAAAGAAAGAAAGAAAAAATCCAGATCCATGGGGCAAGCCACTGGACAAATCCAGATTGCCCCCCACCCAGCTGAAACAGCTCACACCGGCCCTGCCCCCCCCATGGTGGGAGAGCACAGGCTCCCTCAAAAAGAAAATGAACCTCCCTTCTTGCTTAGAACTGGAAAGGAACAATGTATTCTCTAAAATAACTTTGGTTTTAAGCAGCACTTTAGGGACCATCACACAGGGAGAAGCTAGGCCTTCTGTACTCTCTTCTCATGTAGTCTCTCTTCAATGGCTCTTTCATCCTTCCAAGCACGAGAGAGACAAGCTCAAATCGGTGCTGACCAAGCCTTAACATCTCACTCATTCTTGCCTTTGCTCAAAACACAAGGCCAAGCAGGCCTGGGTGAGGCTGGCTAGACAAAAATTCATACTTCGGGCCCCTTTTACCTTTGTGAGAATGAAACATTTCCTTTGACTATGAATTCTTTTTTAAGAGAGATGTGTGTCTGAGATTATGTCTGTGTATGAGTGTGGGTGTCCAGGGAGGCTGGAAGACAGTGTTGGCTCCCCTGGAGCTGAAGTTACAGGAGGTTGTGAGCCACCTGATATGGGTGCTGGCAATGAACTGTGGTCCTTTGGACAGGCAGCAAGTGCTCTTTGGGGCTGAGCCATCTCTCCAGTCCCTAAATATGAATTCTTGTTGAAGGGGAATTTGAGATGAGATTTCCTATGGCATCCAGGCTGGACCCAAACCTTTCTGCTTCTGCCTCCCAAGTGCTGGGATTACAAGTGTGCATCACTATGCCCAGTTAAATAAGAATTTGTGATTTTAAAAGAAGGTGGGTTGTGCCTGCTGGGATAGCTCAGCAGGCCAAAGTGCCACCAAGCCCTAGAACCTAAGCAACCTGCATTGTGGAAGCTGGGAACTACCTCCTACAAGTTCCTCCATGTGCAAGCTGTGACAATTGTGCATGCACATGCGTGCGTGCACACACACACAGAATAAATAAATAATAAATGCAATAAAGTCAATCCCCTCAAATAATCTAAAAATATAAATAAAGGCTGGTCAGTTCACAAAAAGGCATTGTGTACCATTGGGAGAGCGGCACAAGGAGGACCCAGAGCGGCCTGACTAATTACTTCCAATGCCTTCTTCAGGTCATGCTGCATCCCCTGGACCCTTTTCTTGGTCCCCCAAACCCCTCTTTCCCCCCCTTTTCTTGGTCCCCCAAACCCCTTTTTTTCCTAGATGACCAGGGCCACCCACCTGCCCATTGCTGGGGCAGTCTCCGTTCCCAAACGTGCTTGTCACCACCAGCAATAGCTGCTCGTCTTCCAAGGTGCTTGCCTTGTACTGGTTCATGCAGACAACCTGCGCAGCACACAGGGGACATCAGCCCTCAGCTCCCAGGAGGCCCTCTGCACTCACCCCAGACTCCTTCCACCTAAGCGTGTACCTTGGTGTTGAAGGCATAGCTGAACAAGGCGGCCAGGTCCCAGGCTAGCGCTTCGGACTTCCCCGTCTCAGTAGCAAAGAGGACTGTGGCTCGGACTCGGGAAGCCATGACCTTGCGCATCAACATGGAAGCAAAGAGCACCGCTCTGTGGGGACGGACAGACAGACAGATGCTGTGCTGAGTCAGCTTCCAGAAGAGAATAGAAAAGGGACAGCGCTGGGGGTGGTGAGGGGAAACATCCTCCACTTCTCTTTGTTTGGCTGGTGGCCCCTGTGCACCCTGACTCAGGTCCTTTGGGAAGTTCAGGACAATAGAAACAAATGAGTCTCACAACTGGTGTCTACACCATAAAGAACATTCTCCGTATGCCCTGCCCTTCATGGTGGACACAAGGAGGCTGCCTGTGTGAAAGGACACAGTGCAGACACAACACTGCCCACTTCCACCTACTTCACCAAGACTCTGAGTCTGATCTCTCTCCTCCTGGGCCTCAGTTTCCCATCCTGCCAGATATGGGTCTTCCAGGGCTCGACCTGCAGGAAGGAAGGGAGATGTGACGGTAGGGGATGGCTGGGCTTGGGCTGGGGGTGCTGGAGAGGCAGAGGACCTCTATAGCACTCGTGGAAGCCCATCACACCCACCACCAAACCTCCAAAGCTCAGAGTGGTACCTCCTGTGCCCCACATAGAGTCACACAGCAGTGGGCACTTGGCTTTCTTTGTTAATGTCCCAAAAGGTAGAGGCCCACCTGCTTTTAGTATCTCTTTATTGGGTACATTAGATAATGTATAGTCTAATCTGGGCACCTTAGAGAGGACAAGGTAGCCCTCAGCTGGCATGTGCTACCCTAGGCAGTCATAGTACATAGTCTCCACAGCTGACGGCAAGGTGGGGAAGGTGGGGAGGCTTCTCCCTGACCTGATAGTAGTAGAATGGAGATAGGACATAGTTCAGCATCTCCTGGTGAAACACAGGGGTGATGCTCCCAGACATGGGAGGGACCAGCCAAATCCAGTCTGCAGGGCAGCCTCCTCGGGCCCGGTACTCATTCTGCATGTGCTTCATGAAGGACTCTGAGGCTGTGTGGTGGTCCATGATGGTCACGTTCTGCTTCTGAAGGAGAAGACGGAGTGGGCTGAGATAAGGGCAGCAGAGGAGAGTTGGCGAGTGGCTGCACTGTAAAGTGGGAGATCTATGCAATGGTTCTTCTACTGTTCCTGGTCCTCTACTGATTGCTGCAGAAACACACACGGGTCCACAGACTTAGAGACCTAGACCATCGTTACAGCCTCTCACATGGCAGACAGCCTCGGACACACAACAGCTTTCCCTCAGACCCTTTAGGACCATGTAGAGCTCCATGTGGGCCGAAAACCTCAGATGTGGGCCGCTCACACAGCACCACCTTGTTTCAGGTAAAGAAAACATGAACTCAAAGGCAGCTCACTTGCTGGAGTGCTTGCCTGGCGTGCACCAGGTATGTCTATAATCTCGGCACTCCGGTGGCACAAGCAGAAGATCAGGTGTTCAAGGTTATCCACAGCTACATAGGGAGTTCCAGGCTAGCCTGGGCTACCAGAGATTCTATCCCCAAAGTAAGCAAACACAAAACCACCCTGGCCACCTGTGGGGACAGGGAGGACCAGAATGAAGGGGAAACAAGCCACACTCACATCTTCAAATGTCTGAAGGAGACCTCTAAAGGAGGTCTGAACTAGCCTGGAATGATCCAGTAAAAGCAGCTGCACCCCCAAAGTCTGGGGATCCATTCAACCTAGAGAAATGTGTTTACAGCTGTGGAGACGGCTAAGTGGCTAAAGGCATTTGTCACCAAGCCAGATCCGAGTCCCATCCCAGGAATCCACACAGTAGAAGGAAAGTTGTTCTCCAAACTCCACACCAAGTAAAGAAACGTTTAAAAAAATTTGAAAGGGAAATATTTTTAACATGGTGGTCAAAACTCTGTCCTCTCATTAGCCATGTGACTTTGAGCTACAAGTTCCTTAACCTTGACAAGCCTCGGTTTCCCCATCTGTGAAATGGGAGGCAACACTTTCCGTATCCGTTCCTACATTGTGAAGTGGTGAAAGAATGTGAAAAAATCCTATGCTATGGGTGGGTGTTATCTGCTCCTGCCCAGCCGCCAGGTACTGGGAAAGGCCATGGGCCAGCAGAGTGCAGGCTCAACCCACACAGGAACCAACTGCTGTGCTGACCCTGCACCTGGAAGCATGAGCTCCCCTCCATTCACCCAGCCACTCCATAACTTCCCATTCTCTGCTATGGACTAGACTAGCAGTTTAACAGGGAACCCGGTCAAGATCCCAGCCCCAGGGTGTACCCAGCAGCTCACATTTCCAGTGGAGGAAAGAAAAATAAAGAAAGATAGAGGTCAACCTATGATCTGATGCTTAAAACTACTTGAACAAAGTTAAAAGAAGTAGAAGGAAAGGGAATAGGGCCATGGGGTCGGGGGAGGGGGAGACCGCCCAACGTGGCGGAAATGGGTGGCTGAAGTTTACAAGAAGGACAGGAGCTGCCCATGGGATGATTTGTAGGAAGAAGATTCCAGGTGGAAGGAAAAGTGTGGGGGGCAGCGGAATGGCTTGGGGGTGGGGTAAAGGTACCTCCTGCCAAGCTGAGCTCAAATCCTAGGACCCACAGAGTGAAAGCAGGGAGCTGATTCCCGTTAGTTCTCCTCTGACCGTTGCACACACACCATGGCATGGGCTTAGAAGTGCTAAGGTCCTGTGGTAGGATTTCAGATGACCCAGGGTGACAGAAGCCAGGCTGGAATGGCTGAGGAAGAGGCAGTAGGAGGAGACGGGCCTTGTTAGCTAAAACAGGAGCAGGAGAATGAGAGGAGCCCAGGGGGGCTGGCAGAACTATTGGCTAGCTGTTCGTTCCTGTCCTGCAGCCCACAGCCGGCACAGCTATTTGTGCTCTGTGAGAAGGATGGGACAGAGAAGGAGACCCTGGAGTTGTGACAAGGAGGAGCAGTCTCCAAGTGACATCCTTGAGCAATGGAAGCAGAGCCACACACAGTGCTCAAGTGCAGGGACAGGCAGGCTTGGAGCAAAGGAGTTGCCAGGGTTAGAGAAGGAGGATTGCATGCCTGAGTGAATGAATAATGCTGTAAGGGGGATATCAAGCACCAGATAAGTAGCTAGACAAAGTGACTTTCTTACCAAAGCCTCTACCCACCCACAAGACTCCTGGAATACCTGGAAACTATGGAGAACAGCCACGTTGATCTCCGTGACAGCCCGGTCTTTCCACAGGGAGGCCAGCGTGTGGGTCTCCAGGCCCATCCTTCTGCCCACTTCCTATAGAAGCCGAGTGATGAGAGTGAGGCAGCCTTGGGGACACACCCACCAGCCTGCTCCTCCAGCTGGCCCAGCTGGGTAGCCCTTGTCACCTCAAGGATGTTGTAGCGCTGTGTGTCACAGAAGTCTCGAACACCAATCTCCGTGCCCATGTACCAACCATTGAAGGGGCAGGCTGGGAATTCAAGACCACCCACCTCCAGCAGCATGTTGGCTACGGCAGGCAGGGCATACCACTTCAGCCCAAGCTCCTGGAACCACTCGTACCTGGTAGGGAGGGAGAGCCAGCTGCAGTTAGGGTCTTCTTCTTTGCCCGCTCCACTCAATCAAAAAATAATTAACTTCAGTAAAAGAGTCAACCAAAGAAATCCTTTCTCTGCTTTTTTGTTTGTTTGTTTGTTTGTTTGTTTTGTTTTTGAAACAGGGTCTCATATCCCAGACTGGCCTTAATTTTATGTAGCTGAGGATAGCCTTGAACTTCTAATTCTCTTGACTCCTATCTCCCAAGTGCTGGAATTACAGGCATGCATCATCAAACCCAGTTTATGCAGAGCTGGGTTCAAAACTGGGGCTTCAAGCATGCTGAGCCAGCAGGCTCAACTGAGCCATATCTCCAGCACTACAAAATTCCTCTTTAAGAGCTAACCTCAGTCACCCCACCAGGAGAGATAACAGAGCACACTAGGGGTCATTCATTAAATAAGACATCTATTTACTCAGTCATTAATGCAAATGGATCAGGTATATGCCAGGCTAAACACTAAGACTCCAGAACAACTGCGGCAAGTGGCTAAGGACTCTGGCATCAGACAGCTGGGCTCAAGTTCTGCCTCAGCGCTGAATAGGGTGTTTTTAGCCTCTTGGAGCCTAGATATCCCCATCATCAACATAGAGTCAATAGCATCAAACTCATGGGTTATTACAAACATAGTATTATTCATTGGATAGTTAGTCACTTCACAAATATCTATAACTAAATACTTACTGCTTGCCCTGCACCCTGTAGCCAGTGGGGATATACTGATGAAAATCAAGATTCTATTTTTGAAGAAGTTACAGCCCAGCATCTAGACTACAGACCACAAGAGGTAAACCAATACACCAGTAAGAAAAGGAGAAACAAAATGTGATGTTAAATTGAAGGTGGGCAGTCAGGAAAGGCTTCTCGGGGGTCGTAGTGATGTCATGGGAACACCTTTTGACGAGAAGACTTGAGCCTTGCACAATTTGAGGAAAGGACATATCAGGCAGAGGAAGCAGAGCAGAGGTCCTGAGGCTGTGCTCGCTCCGTGTATTCAAGGGACAAGACAGACAGCCCCGAGGCCAGCTAGATAGTAAATCTCCATATATGGAGGAATTTTGTAGAGGTTCAATCAGTTTTGTTCTTAAAGTTCTTGTGGCTCTCCACTTTCTCTATCTGGGAGGGGTGTCCTTTTCCTAAGAAGGCTGGGAGGCCATTGACATCGCTCAGCAGGTAAGGATACTAGCCACCAAGCCTGAGTTCAATCCCCAGGACCTATATGTTAGGAAATTAGCCAACTCCTGCAAATGACTTGACACCACAATACCCCCCCACACACACACACATAAACACATACCACATACACCACATATACCATATACAACAGTACACATACCACATACAACACACACACTATACACACAACCACACATACATATCATACAACAAACATGCAAGCACACCACACATACACACATAAAACATAAACACATACCATATACACCACATGTACCACGCATATTTTACACACACATACACACACAACACACACGCAAATATAAACACACTACACATACCATACACACATACACAAACCTATCACACACACAAATCACACAATCTCATACAGCACACACTACACACCCAAACATGCACATGTACCAATTTACAATCACATACATTCACATACATACCCATGCACACACACTAAATAAATGCAAGAAAAAAATTTAAACAGTGTTGGGAGTGGTGGGAGAGCTGGGTGTTGGTGGCATATACCTTTAGTTCCAGCACTCGGGAGGCAGAGGCAGGAGGATCTCTGAGTTCGAGGCTAGCCTGGTCTACAGAGCGAGTTCCAGGACAGCCAGGGTTGTTACACAGAGAAACCCTGTCTTGAAAAACAAAACAAAGTGTTGGGAGGAGTGCAAAAGGCCTGGCTACTCAGACAGAAGCTCAAGGGCTCTCCTGAAGGCACTGCCTCCCAGGCTCCCAGGACCCTGCCATCTAGGCTGCTGCTCCCCTCAGTCACATCAGTGGTCCCTCATAAGGCTGAGGCTGGCGAGGAAAGAGCACAGCTGCTGCAGAGGCTAAACAAACCTTGCAACATCTGTCCTCTGAGTACTGCCGAAGGCTTGGCTTCGGAAGAGGATCAGCATCCCCAAGGAGGGATGCGCCCAAGCGTATAACCTATAGTACCCTTGGTGGCTTACTTGGGATGCTCCATGGTCACCTCCAAGACAAGGAGAGGAGGGATTTCAAAGACCTCTGGATCTTGTCCGTCAGCCTGCAGGATCAGAGGCAGCACATCAAAGCGGCCATAGCGAGGCTTCCAGCCCAGATCGATGCACAACTTGGAGGGAGAGAGGAACACATTATGCTTGCAGGTCCAGGCAAGCATCTGTCTTGGGTTCCCGCCCAGAGGGACCCATCAGAGACTGGACAGGTACCTGGGTGAACTCCAAGCTGGCAGGGTCCCCTCTGATGGTGGCATCAGGCATCTGGTAGCCAGCATACCTGATGAGCTGAGAGTTCCAGATCCGGAAGTCATGCTTCCCATCGCTCCGCTGGGGGAACACAGTGATGGCCGACCTTCCCCAGGACAGGGATATTGCAGTTTACAAACTGTCCCTGGCTGGGGTGGGGCAGGGGCTCCCAGCCAGCCCCGCCTCCACTCTTCCCACTCTGCAGTCCCTGCACCCCAATCAGACTGAGATCACCCCGTGACAATGAGCCAGTTCCTCCCTATTCCTCAGGACCAACAAGGGAACCATCACTCTAGGGAGTCTCCTGTCCCTTCCACACCCCTGGCTTTCACTGCTGATGCTTCTCTTCTCACAGTTGGTGGCTGTCTCGCAGTCATAGGTTTGCAGCTGACCGGAGCTGCACTCTGGGGTCTCAGTCACCTATGCATCTCACCCTGCCACCTCCTTTTCCTTGGCCCCTGGCCTAGCCCTGTGCTGAGTCCCCCATTAGGTGCACACCAAGTGTTTGCTGGACACAAAAATGAGCAAATGGCAGATTGAGTGTGCTGTTCAGTCCGTGTGTGTGTGTGTGTGTGTGTGTGTGTGTGTGTGTGTGTTGTGTGAGAGACAAGGAACGTCCAATGCCAAGCAGTGGCTTTCACATCTAAGAAAAATAACACAGCAAAGGTATAGCCAGGAAATCAGTGTCTCCTTCCTAAACAGGGAAAAGAACCTTTTATTGTGCTTGTTTGTTTCCAAGACAGGGTCTCACTATGTATCCCTGGCTGCCCTGGAACTCACTATGTAGAATAGACTAGCCTCAGACTCACAAAGATCCCCCTGCCTCTGCCTCCTGAGTGGGATCTTTTTAAAACAAGACCAGGTCTGTCTATGTGGCCCAGCCTGGTCTGGAACTCATGGCAATCCTCCTGTCTCAGCCTACTCACTTCTGAAATTACAGATATGTACTACCATGTCCCACTAAAATTTTTTTCTTTGTTTTTGTTTTGTTTTTGAGGCAGGAACACATGGAGCCTAGGCTAGCCTTGAACGTGCTATGTAGCTAAGGATGACTTTGAACTCTTGATCCTCCTGCCTCCACTTTTCCAAGTGCTTGGATAACAGGCATGTGTCACCATGGCCTGCTAGAAATGGTTTCTTAAAGATAGAACGGCCTCGGGGCTGGAGAGATGGCTCATAGGTTAAGAGCACTGTCTGCTCTTCCAGAGGTCCTGAGTTCAATTCCCAGCAACCACATGGTGGCTCACAACCATCTGTAATGAGATCTGGTGCCCTCTTCTGGACTGCAGACATATATGTAGGCAGAACACTGTATACAAAATAAATAAATAAATAAATAAATAAATAAATAAATCTTAAAAAAAAAAGATATAACTGCCTCATGGTTCTAGGGAGAGAAATAGCTGGGCCTGTGACAGAGGCTATTGGGGAAGAGGTCACTGTCACCATTCCGGAGCTAACCTTACTCCTTTGTCTCTCCCTAGAGCCAGAGGCTTCTCCCCTAAGCCCTAGCCTCTTCTGCCTGAGACCAGCAGAGTGGGCCCAGCACAGCTGGAAATATGTCTCACCTGATGTTACCGTTGTTGGTGGCATAAAGCAGATGTCTACAGATGTGCTGGAACATGTCCTGGGCAGTGCTACAGCTCCGGGCATCGAAGACCTGTGTACAGCCCACCAAAACCACACCATGGAAGACTCAGGACAGAGGCTTGGGGCTGACTGACAGTCCCCAGGGAAAGAGGGCTGCCTGCACACCACTGTCCAGCAAACACAGACATCATACCCTCCCCTCTGCATCAGCAGTGCTCATCTCTAAGCTACCCTACTCACCACAGCACTTGAGATGGGGAACAGAGAATCCCACTCAGAAGGCCGCAGTAAAACCAAATCCCCAAGGGCTGGCTTTAAGGCATCAAAAAGCAGGGTCCCCACAGCCCCAGCCTGGATCTTTGCCATGGGAATGTGTGCCATCGTTGAGTCTCCTGGATTTCCTCAGTCCAAGTGCACTCAAAAGGACCCAACAAAAAATGACCCTCCAAGGAGACGATGGCCTAGGAGGCTAGGATAAATAAAATGTTCTCTAGGAGCCAAGAGCATAAACACTGGAGGCAAACAAGATCATGGTGACATGTGGTTTCCCACGTTTAACAAGAGAGTGGGTCTTCTAGAGCCCCTGGTACCAAAATAAGATTCCAGGTCCTAGAAGGGGGCCTGGGATATCCTGTCTCAGGGATTGACTGCAGTCGGCAAAGCCCTGACTACTTCCTCATCTCAGGACCTGCACATCCTGCTTCCTTCTTCTGCTCCACCCCTGAGGCTCACCTGCAAGTTAGCCCACTGGATCCTGCCGATGCAGCGAGGGGCGTTCCGCCAGGCCAGCTTGGTGGCAAAGATGAGCTCATCCAGCGTCAGCTGGTAGGTTCCTGTTGTTTCTATGTCCTCTGTTACAGCTTCCACCCTGGCCAGATGTTCCTCTATTTTTGCCCTGAGGGACAGGAAGCCACCAGGAAGATCAACAATAGCAGGACCTCACACGGGGATTAATTCAATCCCCAGAAAGCAGGACCTGAACTGGGACACTGTCCCCTGTAGGGCTGGCTTTGTGACCCACTCTTAGCTTACTCGGGACTCGTTTTTAATACTCTGACATCTCCACCTTGAAGTTCTTAGTCCTGTTAGAACAAAATCACTTTGACTTCTCCACTGCCCCCTGAAAGTTGTCACCATTGTCATCACCATCATCTTGAGACAAGGTCTTGTTATGTAGCCCAGGCCAGCCTAGAACTTCTGATCCTCTTTCCTCCACCTCCCAAATACCTGGGATTGCAGATGCATGCCACCACAAGTAAGTTAGGAGCTACTGTTCTGTTTGCTTTGCAATCAAAGGCCACGAGGCTCTACAGTGGAAAGTACCAGGCCCAAGAGCACAAGCATGGTAACAGAGAAATGAGGACACAGACCCAGGTGGTCTTGCTGCCAAGGCCAGGCTCCTAACTGTCTGCAGTGGACAGGACTTTCTACCTTCCCCTCAAGGGAAAACTGCTGACTTGCCGGTTCCTCAGAAGGCAAGGCAGGCCCAGACAAGACCTGAGGTCAGGACTCAGCCTGAAGGACACTAGAGCCCACCCAAAGGAGCCACACTCAGTGATTTAAGCATACTTCAAAATTATCCCAAGGGAGAGGAACTTGGTCACAACGACTTTGAAACACACACACACACCACAGCAACCTTGAGATTTCCAACCAGCACCACCAAAGGCTTTCGAAATGGCAACAAACAAAATTATTTAAAGAATGAACTTGTGATTAAGGGCAGCAGAGGACTTGGAATGAAACAGCCTTTGGGGCAGATGGAGGGTCTTGGCAACTCCTTTTTGATTACAGAAAGACTTGAAGACACTGTGATGTTTGTACCTAGTGATCTCTGTAACGGGGAACTTGTGGGTGACGTTGGTGTCCTTCATCATCAGAAGAAGGTTCTAAAATAACCACCACTCTGTACCCAAGCATGAAAACAGCAGTGTCCATGGTATGGCAATGCCATGTAAAGGGAGAAAGAAGAACTCTTGGTGTCATTTACCCAAGAGTGAGTTCTGATTCCTTTGGAAGATCTGGTCTCGCCTGTTGTAATCTAAGGAGTGGACTGGTCCTGAGCAAAGCCATCCTCTCTGTGTAATGAACAGAGCAGCAACAACGATATCAAGAAGGAACGGGGAACCTTTGTCTTAGCCAGTTTTTTTACAGGACTTTCAAGAGGGAGACAACTGTTTTCTGGCTTCCCTGACTCAGAACAGCTCATGAAGCCACAATCAGATTTCATCCCTTTATACCCACATGTAACTTCTAGAATACTTTGGGTCGGGAAGGGACTCGTGGCTCTCATGCAGTCATAAATGATCTCAAAACACAGTATTAACTCAGTTATAGGTTGGGTGACAATTTGACTTGTAAAAGCAAACTGAAAATCCACACACAGTAACACCCAAGCTTCCAACATCTATGAGAAAGGCTATAACACGTGGGAACACATAAGAAAGATGACTTTTAAAAGAATATTTTAAATGTAATTATTTTGTGGATTTTTGTTTTGTTTTGTTTGTTTGAGTCGGGGGAGGGGCGCTCACTCTTAAAATTATTTTCATGTTTTCTCCCATTTCACTTAGATTTTTTTCATTGTTTTGATTTGAGACAGAGTCTCACTAGGTAATCTGGGCTGGCTTAGAGTTCACTATATAGACCAGGGTGGACTCAAACTCACAGAGATCCTCCTGCCTCTACTTTCTGAGTTCTGGGATTAAAGACATGTGCCACCACACTCAGTGAATTTTATTTTTAGCATTTTCTTTTACCACTTTTCCTTCTCTGTTCTTTTTTGTTTGTGGCACCAGGGACTGAACCTAACCAAACTAGGCTTATTCTACCACTGACCTACAGCCTCAGCCCCATGCCCCTACACTTATTCTTTTAGCCTTTTTGAGACAGGTTCTTACTATGTTGCCCAGGCTGTCACCTAGGCAGTCCTTGAACTTGGAATCTTCCTGCAAGGACCTTGGACTCCAGGGTAAGTGGAACTATAGGCCTGCACCACCAGGCCCACCTTACACATTGTGTGGTTTCTGGTGGTCATGTTTCAGAGTCGCTAGTAATGCTGTGGTGGCTTTTCAGGAAAAGGATTGGATGGGCACTCTCAGAAAGTCAGGAGCTAATAGGTCCTGTCATTCTGCATATACAGATGGACGAGTCCACTCTGATGGAAGCCTGCAGCTGCTGGTGTCCCTGCACCCTGGGGATGGGCTGTTGTTCAACATTCCTGGGGACCAAGATATGGACTTGTGACTGTGGAAAATGAGAAATAAAGGCTTTTGCCCAGGCACTAGGCACAGCCCTGTGGCCTCTTATGGTTTCCAAAGATCCAACCAGCTGTGTCTGGAATGCCAGCTGGGTATCCCAGCTCCAAAAAGAGTCAGGATCATGAAGGGCTAAAGGGCTCCATACTAGGCTCCATGTTGAGGCTAACAGCCATGGTCCCAACACCAGCATCCCAGGCTCCCAGGGTGCTGAGGATAACAACCAGGGTCCAGCATCAGCATCCCAGGCTAACAGGGTGCTGAGGCTAACAGCTAGAGTCCCAACACCAGCATCCCAGGCTACCAGGGTGCTGAGGCTAACAACAACTAGGGTCCCAGCACCAGCATCCCAGGTTAACAGCTGGGATCCCAGCACCAGCAACCCAGGATCCCAGGGTGCATCTTTAAGCAAGTCCTACCCACTCCTGGGACTGCTGCCCTTGGTCCAGGGGGCCAGGCATCAGTGTTCTACAAGGTCCTAGATAAGGTTGGGAAACCTTGCTCTGTAAGATGGGGCCTCATGTCAGACACGCCCCCATCTCTGGCATCCAATAGACAGGTGGAACAAGTATCACCAAGAACAACAATTTTTGTTCTGGGTCCCAGGTACCCTTCTGTGTCTAATGTCCCAGATGGAACTGCTATGTGAGACTGGACCACAAAAGGACACTGTCACACTGTATCTAGCTGCAGAGCAGACATTCACTGTCTTGGTCAGTCATTCTTACAACCACTTGTGTATTTGGATTAGAAAGTTTTAGGGAGGCTAAATTACTTAGTCACATATTATACTACTTCATGAGATGCTGTCTCAAAAACATACATAGAGGGACCAGAGAGATGCCTCAGTGTGTAAAGACACTTGTCACTAAGTCTGATGATCTCAGTACAGTCCCATGAATCCACACTGTGGAAGGATATGCCCAACTCCCACAGACTGTCCTCTGACTTTCATACACTTACGGTGGTTCAGGTATTCTGTTCTCCAACAAATAAATAAATGCTTAAAATTAAAATATATACAGTGATAACTAAGACTTCAGTTGCATTCATTATAGGTCAGTACAGTGCTTAGCTCTTTTTGGCCTCTAATTCATTTAATCTTCATACAAACTTCTACATGGTGGGTATATTATAATAGATATTTTCAGGCAAGAAAACCAAGGCACACAGAGAGGAAGAAACTTGCCCAGGTTTGAACCTGTGTAGTTGGCTGATTGGACCTCAACTATTAACCAAGACACACAGCCTCTCCTTAATCACAATTGTATACATTGACAACAAAAATTGGTAACTGGCAATGAAGAAAATCTTTGTATTTCAGGCTTGACACCTGTTTGTTAACAGAATGACTGACTGATTGGCTTAAGAATGAAGGAGTCTGGGTAATGGACTCATGGCAGCCTCATGTGGTAAGAAGATGAAAACACTCCAGGAGTGCGCCACCCCACCAAGCCAGGTATCCTGGACTCTAGCTAGACTAGGATGATGCCAGAGGTATCTCTGGGAATCTTGCTCACATCTGTAGGAGGAAAGGCCTGACCACGCACTCGCTAAGCTTCCGTCTACTTCAGGATAAAAGGATCGATCCATTCCAAGTCACTGTTTCATAGCCCCTAGGCTAGGACACTGTTCCAAACTTACACATATCTCATGGCTGCCTAATAAGCCATGCTGTAAGATCCACACTTTACAGATGGGGAAGTTGACGCCCAATGAATTTCCTGGGACTCAGGAGTGGTCTGTGGTGGAGCCAGAACCCCAGCCAGTTACACTCTCCCCTACACTGCCAGACATTATTTGCAGTGCCTAGGCCTCCTCCAGGGTCTGCTCCAGGCTAGAACAGTGGCAAGTCTGGAGATTGCAGAATTCATGAGTCAGTGTGGGACAGTTGGATACAGGACAGCCCCAGGGAGGAGAGGGTAATGTCACCCTGACAGAAGCCACACTTACTCAGTGAAGGAGCCATAGTACTGGTTGATGAACTCAATGGCTTGAGGCAGAAGCTCCTCCAGGGAGGTGGGCTTATCTCTGGGGCCTCTTATCAAATTCTTGGGGTTCATGATGGACCCCAAGCAAGATTTGGACTTGCAGGTGAACTCCTAGGAAGAGAGACAGGGGGTGAGACAGGTGGCTTTCTTTTGGCTGCTATGTTGCTCACGGTGACTCTACGCAGGCACCCTCTCCTTGGTGTCTACCAAGATTTCTCCTAGCCTAGCTCCCCTCTCCTTTCTTGAGATCCACTTGGTGAGAGCTGGTTTCTGTGGGTCCCTGCTCTCCAGGCAGCTAAAAACCTAGTGCCAGCCTCAGAGAAAACTCCATAGCTTCCTCCTAGGGGACTTCTTATCTGCTCTCCTTTCTAAGAGACCCAGCTGGCTCCTGTGGGAACACGGTTCCAGTGTCAGCCTCAAGAAAATGGATGAGCAGCTGAACATTCCAAAGTCAGGGAGGCATGGAAAGAAATGCCAGAAAGATGGATGCCCAGATGTTAACTGTGGTGTTTCTCTGTTTTGCTTTGTTTGGTTGGCTTTGGTATTGATTTTGAGACAAGATCTTACATGGCCCAGGCTGGCCTCAAATGCACACTGCATAGCAGGTCATCTTGAACTCCTAGCCTCCTGCCTCTATCTCCCAAGCACTGGGATTACAGACACAGTTTCTAGGGGTTCAGGAGATCATCCTGCCTCACAGCCTTTTTGATTCTTACCCACTTCATAACCACAACATGAATTCTTTTATTTTTTCTTTATCTTTTGTTTCGTGTTTGTTGTTTTGAGACAAGATCTCACTATATAGTTCTGGCTGTCCCAGAACTCAACATGTAGACCTGGCTGGCCTCAAACTCGGACATCTACTTGCCTCTTCCAAGTGCTGGAATTAAAGGCATGCAGCACCACACTCGGCCTCATAACATGAATTCTAGAGTCAGAGTAAGGAACTTAAAGACAGGAAGGAACCTTAAAAGACAATTAGTTCCCATTCACGGGCTACTTGAACCTCTGTCACCTCCCTGTCAAACAGCACTTGAACCCTTCAGTCACAGGGAGCCCATTGCTTCCTGTCAGTCAGTCAGCTTTGGACAATTCTAATAGAAAACTCTCAGATACTCTTGAAATCTAAGAAAATATTGGTTCCTGTAGCCTTTTGTCTGACCTCCTAGGTTATCTGCTGCCTAATTGGGTGGTTAACATGAAACTGGCCTTATTAACACTTCTGACTATAGTTTATGAAAACAGTTCCCAGCATCTTTTGTCTGAGAAGATGGCTGTCTATTGAGTCCAGGGGATATGCGATGCACCCACAAAGGACCCTTATGGCACCCTAGCTAGGACAAAGATGAATCTCCCCGACCCCCAGACTTCTCACCGACATGGCCTTGTGGTGAAGGGTGTCTTGCAAAATCTCTCCACTGCCCCAGTTTTTGATTTTCACGTGTTGTGGGCGGGTGGATGGAGACAGGTGCGGCTTGTCCAGGGGTTCCAGACCATTCTAAGATGGGTAAACATCCAGGCTTTTCCAAATGCCCGAAACCCCAAAAACCTGTACAAGTGTTCCCCCCACCTCTGTACTCTGTGGGGACACAAAGCAGGGCTCTCGCACACACACAGGGCCAGGCCTCAGTCCTCCACCCATCCCAGAAATTGGGCCAGCACCAGCTGAGTGCTGCAGGTGGCTGGGCCAGGGCCAGGCTTCTGTCCTTACCAAGGCCCAGCCAGTGCTGGCTCATGAGGGGAATTCAAGTTAGATGGGAAGGCCACTGCTGCAGCTGGGCCTGCCAAGGACAGAGCCGGGAGTTTCGAAGGTAACAGATAATCCACTTTGTTGTTTCCCCAGGGACACCTTTCCCATTCCCCATCTCTCTGCCACCTCTCTACAGTCCTTAGGATGGAAAGGGCTTTAGGAAGATGGGGTCCATGGCCAGAAGCCAGGGGCTCTGTCTAGAGGCTCAACAGCTAAGTCTGAGATCATTCTCGAATGTCCTACCCATAATTCCAGGAATAGTCTTAAACTGAGGACACCTATACTGTCAGTCACCAGACAAGTTATCTTGGTACTGGTGTACCCTGGAGACCTCTTCTCCTGATTATCAAGGGTGTCCTTTTGTTTCAAGCCTCCTTGGCTCCCTCTGTACCCCAGGCCTGGGTTGCTCCCCTCACTGCCCAAGCCTTGGCATCCTGTGCCCTCCTTCCCAGCATCCAAAGGAGATGTAGCCTGACTCTCCCAAGGAGAAGGAAGAAGGACCTTCCCATACTATGTGACCAAACCACTGACCTGCGCTGCCCCAGTGAGGGGTGGTGGGGAACCATTTTGGTGCTTGGCAGGTCTGTGATCCTTAGGGTCATCCTGTGTCGTTGGGCTGTGAAAAGAAAGTTATCGTGAGATGAAGTCTGGGAGTGGAGAGGGGTCTTGAGAGGCCTCTGTGCGTCCCTGTCTGGCAGATGGGGCACTGGGTGCTAGAAGTAGGAATGACCTGCCCCTGGCTTCCCATCAAAGAGGACGAGGGAGCCAGTCTTGGGGACTCTTGACATCACCTTCCCTCTTCATCTTTACTTAGAGCACCCAAAGCTAAAATGATTCGAGGGAACAAGTCAAAACTATTCAGACAGCAGCACACAGAGGCTCTGGGGAAAGCCAAGGGCAAATGCTCTGACAGTCCAATCCTCCCAGGCCAGAGTTTAAGTTGGGCATAGTAGTGCATGCCTGGAAACCCAGCATCTGGCAGGTGGTGGTGGAAGGATCAAAGGTTCAAGGCCAGCCTCAACTATATAGAACTATATAGAAAGTTCAGACCAATCTAAACCTGCCTACAAAGCACACAAACAATCCCTCCAAACACTTAATTTAACTTATTTTACTCTGTATATCACACTGGCTTCCAACTCATGGCAATCCATCTGTTTACGCCTCCTAAGTGCTGAGATTATAAGTATAAGCCACAAAGTCTGGTACTCCAAGTATTTGTCTTGTAAAAAGTAAAAGGAACAAAAGCCAGGAACGGATGGCACATATATGTGATCCTAACACCTAGAAAGCAGAGGCAGGAGGATTGGGAGTTCAAGGTCATCCTCGGCTACACAGGGAATCCAAAGCTAGCCTGTGCTACATGATACCTATTTTTAAAAATAGGATAAAAAAAAAACTTTTGGGAAAAAAGAAAATGTGAAAAAAGGGCCAGACATGGTGGCACATGCCTTTAATCACAGCACTCAGGAAGCAGAGGTAGATAGATTCCGGACAGCCATGGCTATACAGAGAAACTCTGTTTGGAAAAACAAAAAGGAAGGAAGGAAGGAAGGATAGAGAAGGTATATCTGCTGGTGAAGTTGCAGCCACATTTCTAGCAGAGTTGAAGATGAATCCCTGGCACCAGAAAAGAAAAAACAAAACAAAACAAAACAAGATGACTATTGACATGATCACTGCCTCAACTATCCACACTGCATAATTTTTACTACAATGCACTGTTTTTTGTTTTGTTGGGTTTTTTTCTTTCTTTTCTTTCCCTTTTTTTTTTTTTTTTTTTTTTTTGGTTTTTTGAGACAGGGTTTCTCTGGATTGCTTTGGAGGTTGTCCTGGAACTCACTCTGTAGACCAGGCTGGCCTTGAACCCACAGAGATCCACCTGCCTCTGCCTCCTGAGTGCTGTGACTAAAGGCGTGTGCCACCAATGCCCATCTACAACACACTGTTAATGATGGTTCTGTGTTAGTAGTAGTTACTGTTGGGAATCCCTTACTTTACCCAATTTATAAATCAAACTTTATCATTGGTAAGTATGGGTAGGACAAAAAGAGCACATATGAAGGTTCATTACTGTTGTGGCTTCAGACATCCCCTGTGGTCCTAGAGTATGTCCCCACAGATGCAAAGGACAGCTGCAGGTATCACAAAGCAACTTATATCTGAACCAAGTTATGCACCAACCCTGAAAGTGTCCTGTTTATGAGCCATGAAAAAGATTCCTGTCTTGGTAACACCTTGACTAGACTCATTCGTGTGCATCCTTGTAAAACCCCGATTTGACTGAGTGTGGTAGGAACATCCCTGTGATCTCAGAAGCAGGGAGGCAGAGGCTGAGGGCTACTCCATGAGTTCCAACGCAGGCTGGGCTACATAGTAAGACCCTTTCTCAAAAACAAACATCTAACAAACAAACAAACAAACAAACCCCAAATCCAGGATCTGAAGAAATGGCTCAGTGTTTAAAACCACTTGATTCTCTTGAGAGGACCTACGGTTTGACTTCAGGCACCCACAGGTGGGTGACTTACAACCGTCTATAACTTTAGTACTAGGAGATCTGACACCCTCTTCTGACTTACATGAGGACCAGACATGGCTGTGGTACACAAACATACCTGCAGGTAAACATCCATACACATAAAATAAATAAATCTAAAATAAAATGAAACAAACCCCCCAAACTCCAGTTTTAGTTACCTCCCTGCTTAGTCTTTTAGTAATAAGTCACCCTGGTTCCCATCCCCCCAACAGTGAAGTTTGATTGTTTGGGTCTTACCTTCGGCAAGAATCTTGTTGGGTCAGTTCAGTGAGAATCTTCTTTATCTTTGGCAATAACTTGCCCTTACCCTGCTATATTTGTGTGGAACCCAATTTCTCCCTCCACTACAAGACTGCAGTGGTCCATGT